ATCTGCAGGTCATAAACTCACTGATGTAACAGGCAATGTAACTCACTGATCTAGGGAAGTGTTCAGAAGCTACACATCTCTTTTTAGGACTGCCTTTTATCATCATTTACTACACTCATGCCGCATTTTGTCCATGAATATGAAGAAACACAGCATACAGTAAAGGTGTAAAGCTGCCACGGTGAAGGGGTCATCATCACAAAGGCGACCTTTACTTCACAATGGGCAGGCCTCCCATTACACTGCCTGCCAGTCCCAATAACTGCTTTTAAAACTAACTCAGATACTTTGGGTTTCCTTCTTTTTTTCCTTAATTTTAAATGTCTGACTCCCCTGTACTGCTGGAAGGTGTAAACAGATATGTCCCTCTTCCTATACACATGGTGTCGCCAGTTTCACACTTTTACCTGCCAGTGAATTAAGTGGAGTTAAGAGCTTTGGCTATACCCCAGATTCCACCCGCTCCATGTGGTAATGCCAGGAGTTGGTAATGCAGCTGCAAGGACATAATCCCTCACTGGCTTCCTACCAGTAAAAACCGCGGGAGTTTGAAGCTCAATCTATGCTGTGGTGTAGTCCTCAATTGCTAAGCTACGTATTTAAACTTTTGTAAAGCTGCAGCTTTTTAGAGGAATTGTTTAACATTTTGGGAAATAGGCTTACTTGCTCTCTTGCCAAGAGATACATCCTGTAGCCCCCATTTCAGTCCCCTCCACCCCATTCACATGCACACATTTTTACCCCCTCAGGGTAAGAGTAAAGGGGCAGGCTCCATCTCTCATTAACCTACTGGTTGAATAAATCAAAGTGCACAGGGCAGAGAGCAGAATCTCAGCCTCGGCCATTCAGATAAGAAGAACACCCTACACCAGCTCATAGCCTACAGCTCAGTGATATATGGATCTGCAGAGGCTAATAGCAAAGTATTGACAGGGAAATGGTGTGCTTATCCTGCTCCTGCATGCTGGGGAGAGGTCCCCTAAGCAGATGGGACACACTTTAGGGAGAGGGAAAGAAGAGGAGGGGGGTGAAAGGATGAGGTAGAACTGTACTGGGACAAATTAGAGTCTTTATTGCTTTATTTCAGCTAATTTGTCTCTGAGTTTAAGTCTACAAACAGACAACAATAGGTCTCAGTTTACTCTGCATTTAAACAACTGTATTTCTGTCCATATTGTCGCAAACTTTTAACTAGCTCTGACTCTGCAGGCAGCCTTATATCTACTTTACTTTAGTTTAAGTAAAACTCTTTGATGGTCTTAGATATGTTTTCGTAAATATGTCTTACATTTTATTCAGAAATTCTGTGAGAGTTGTAGAGACCTTTAAAAGTGTAGATTCATTAATATATTATTTTAAAGAAAGCATCCTGGTCAATATTGAGTGGTTTTACAGGAAAATATCCTCAACATTTGAGTAAACCATCATATTAATTGTGTAAATGCATCAAATCCGTCATCTCTCCTAATTTTCTACCCATTTTCCATGCCTGCACACAGAGCTACAAAAAAAACTAAATGCATGGGCTATAGCAAGCAATACTCCTCTCTGACAAGAAGCAATAGATCAAGATGTAGGCCACCCTCCCATTGGTGGAGTCTTTAATGCTGGAGTCAGTAGGTTATCGCTGTGGGGCCTGCACCTTGTTCTAAGTGTCAGCTTTATCAAGCACTACCAATTCTTCCTCTGATGTGGCTGTGGATGCAGGAGATGGGCCCTAATGGCAACACTTCATCAACCTCAGAAAAGATGTACAGAGAAACTGCAACCTCTGATGTCAGATAAAGATGTTGATACTGTTTGGTTACTGGACCACCAGGGATAATTTGGTCAAAGCCTTACAGTGTAGCATTGCTGTAGTAGTTAGGAGCTTGCCACTGCCAGCTGACATTCTTAGGGACTGATTCAACAATGCTGAGCCTGTTTGATGTACACATACAGGATTTACTGTATGATTTGAGAGTGCTGCTGTAATTCAAACAAGGACCCACTGTGTTCTAGATGATGTAGGAATCCAACAGCAGTATTATGGAGGAGGCAAGCGAATAAAACTGGTTTAGTGTGTCATCTGGAGACATGACAATACCACTGTACAGCCACCAGGGGACAGACAGTCTAACCCATGATTGAATGAATGAATGAATGAATGAATGAATGAATGAATGAAGACGAATGTGAGTTAGATACTGACTGAGCCTCATTCCATAAAATCAGTCAAATATGTTACACCAAGTCAGTGACTGTCAAATAAACATGAGGAGAAACGTCTGCCTGCATACTTGCAAGTGCCGGTACTTTTCATATTTTGTTCACAAAAAAATGTACAGTTACTTACTATGAAATCTTATTTACACTCTGAATCAGCATTTCTGTGGTGGTTATATTCATGAGAGGATCCAAAAAACATTCACACAAAAACTTATGTTAGAGTCCACTCTGAAATATAATGAGCATGCATCTGCATCAATGAGCACCAAGGGTAAAGACAATGCACCATCCTACCCTGCCAAATGCCTTTGTTCCTCTAAAGGACACCACATATGACCATCTTTACATCTGGACGCCAAGCACTGTACCGGGGCCTGTCTATGACCATGATTACCCACTTGACATCTTTATAGCTCCATGGCAGACATCCTCTTCGGCAGAGCTAGAGAGAGAAATACAGAATGCCAAAGTGGCCCCACAGTGCTGGTGTGGGACATCAGAGTTTTGTGTTGAAATAATTAGCCTGTTTAGAATGCCATCTGGGCTCTGGTTGCTGGCGTGTGGCATGAGCCAGGTGCTTCATGGGTAATACCACAGAGAGACATATAGCAGATGCTCATGGGTAGAGCTGGCCACCTTGGCACAGATCTGGAATCAGCTTACCTCTATACAAATCTGATGTAAAACCACAGGAGGAAATACAGACTGATTTGAGGACAGTTTCCTAAAGCATGCCCATTTAAAGGGTTTTAAGCAATTAGTCAATACAAGTACAGTGAAGTCTGCATGAAGCTAAAAGTAAACTTTGCGATTATGTTGAGAATAACTTGACTTTACTATCTAACCCAGCAAAAATCTATGGAACTTGCATTCTGCTCAGGACTGAATCTGCGATAACCCCACTCCATTCGACATAAAACACAAGCACAACAAACACAACAAATAATCACCTCTTATCTATGAAAAGCAGGTGCCACTTAACGAGTGCCCAGCCCCTACGCAGCTTAAAATCTGAAGAGGTCTAAACATTTTTTTGAGCAGTACAGTAGGCCAGTAACTTGATAAGGCCCCTGGATTTACTCGATGAGGTAGAAAGTTCCTGAGCAAGCAGCAGGCATGTGGTTGTTGTTCCCAGAGGGCTGGGAAACCGTATCTGCCCTGGAGGAGCATCCTCTTTGGTAAGCACTTCTTATCCAGGCCATCACTGCAGGCCGATAGCGGCAGGGTAATATCCAGTAACTGCAGCTTTATGTGCGATCCAATACTTGGATCAATCCCTAGGACAGGAGGATTGCCATTAACCCCTGAGATCTCTCTCTCCTTCCCTCTTGTTTTCTCTGTCTTCTAGTCATTCTTTCCATCTTTTGATACTGCAGCGGAAATCATAAAATCATTTTCAAGAGAGAAAAATTGCTCTATACATTACTTTGCAGCAGGAGGGCAGAGCACCACACTGCTTTGAAATTCACACAAAACTGCCAAAAGCCACCTTCAATAAAGGTAATACATCAGAATTTCTGTTGTTTTGTATTTCATCATAAATTGTTAATCATTTAGACCTACTTAAAAATAACATGAAGCTTGGTGAAGTGAAAAGAAAACTGTATGTATGAGTGTGGATATAGTACAGTATGACCATGTGCAGGTGTGTGTACGTTCTGTTTGTATTGTGAGGTGAAACAATGCATGGGTTTTATTTCTGTATCTACAGTATGATTAAGTGTATGTGTGTGTGTGTGTGTGTGTGTGTGTGTGTGTGTGTGTGTGTGTGTGTGTGTGTGCGCAGAGGCATGCGTTTGAGTGTGTGTACGTGTTGAGAAAGCTAGAAAGACAGTTATGAAGAGCAATGGCGTGAATAGGAAAGAGAGAGACAGTGGGTTTGAGACTTTGTTTGAAACTCCCAATACTTTGGGGAGTATTGCCCCATATATTGTCCCATGTGACTGAGCAGAAGAAAGATAGACTGAACCAAAGATATGTAGCTCTTGCAGAGCATTTCTCTTGCTCTCTCACTGAATATAAATGGATAAATAGCACTGAAATTAGTTTAACGTGCACTGCTACTCTCATATAAAAATGATGTTACATGCTACAAAATGGCCGTTAAACATACTGTTCAGGGGTGACACGTTCAGCAGAGATTCATCAAACAAAAGCACAAACATCTCAATATGATATGAATAAAGATCACCGCAAGATGCATGGCACTTTTTTTTATATTATTTAAAAGGTATGTAAATGTCAAATGATAAATAAAGACTTTGGGTAAATGGCTGACATAGATTTTTGTTCTTATCACTCCAAAATTATTCAGACTGATAAAAGAAAGACTCAAACTTGTGTGACACAGGTGGGATGAATCCACTGCCATTAATTCCACAACAGAAATAGTCAGTTAATAAATGATTTAACTGGAGAATCAGCTTATCATAACCAGTGGAAAAACTAAATTAAATTTGATCAAACAAATGGATTATATCAGAAAAGGATATTCTCCTTTATTCTAATCAGAATATTGTATGGGGTAGTTTGACAAGAGTTTGATTGAGTTTCTCTTAATAAGCCATATTAAGCATATGTAATTTATTTCACACTGGCACAACCTAATCAGATTTTTTTTTTGGCTCTGTGGCTAAAAATATTTTCTATGTAGTGAATGAAAAGTAGAGATTTTTCTTGCAGTTAAAAGAGGCAAAAAACATTTAAATTTACCAAGACAATTGCAACTGATAAATATTTCACAACAGGCAAGCAATTTAAGCCTAATTAGAAGTCTGAGAATGTTCACTTACCTCCAGTGTTTCTTTTTTTTTGGAGGGTCAAGACCCCAGAACTTGAACGCAGGTGTATAACAGGAAGGTTGAGCACATCCTCTCTCTTTTCCACGCAAACGTCAGAGGCCACGAGGCAGCTTGCTGTGCTTAACTACATCACAGTAACAAGCAAGGGTGCAAGAGAGAGCCGTCCGGGCGAGCTGGCAGCCAGTCTGTCGGAGAGGTTGGTCAATCAGCCCCGGCAGCAGAGACAAGGGGACAGGCACACAGGGAGAAGGGCTGAGCCGGAGTGGGCTCTGCTGGAAGGCTTTTTCGCCTCTCCTTCCCTGAATGAAAGCAATCCCTAAGAGTGAATGGGTAATGAGAGACCGGCTCCTGAGATTTTAGCTTTCTTAATCATGTTCATAATTAATTCAAGAACATTGATAATTTCATTACATTCTTTTTGTCTTATCAATAAATGATGTGCCTGCACTTTTGGTCTTGTGTATACGGGAGAGAGGGAGGAAGAGAGGGAGAGAGAGGGACAAGAGAAGTAATACTGCACTAAAAGCACAGGAGATGGAAAATGATACAAACAGGGAAGTGGTAATTATAATCTTTGACCAAGCCACTGGCTGCACAATATGAAGTCAAGTGGCTACAAATAATTAATAAGGCCTCCTGGTATGTATGTGTGTGTGTGTGGTAGGGGTGAGGAGTAGGGGGGAGGTTGACAAATGTCGTTGTTAAACAATATTTTGCCAGCCCTCTTTTAGTAGTTGTTTTTATAAAAAAAAGAAAAAAACACGATACAACTACTAAACATCATTGTGTTTTCAGCAACATGATGTTATACACACGGCTGCTGTTGCTGATACAATCACCTTTAATCCTCACCTTTAAACAGAGGGTGTGGAGGATGCCCGTCTTATAATGCCCTTCAGATCCAATAAGGGTTCAGGTTTCAGGAACATTAGTGCACTGAAGCAGATTTTAAAAGACCACTCTCCTTCCTCCCCTTTCTCCTCTTCACGTGCCCTCTGTCAGATCAAGAAAAGAAAAAGACAAGAACCATTTTCTGTCTTGTGGCATATATAGTTTCCAGCTATTTGGCAGCAGGAATAATGAGATAATATGCATTTTTAATAGTTCATCTTCAGAATATTCAATAACCCTTCACCTCTACGCACGCTGTTATAGATTCTGTGCTTTATCAATCGAACTTTCTGTTCAAAACTGAGCTGAAAATAGAATGAGAAGGAGGGCACAGGGAGGGGAAAAAGGATGTAATGGATATCTCTGTTTCCTAAAAATACTGTGAGAATGATGGAGTCTGAGGAAGGCTCTGAATCACAGCTCCAAACTGCTCCAAAACCAGACAAGTAGATGAATGGCTTTGAGCAGTCTAATCTGACACTGAGTGATTGACTGCTCTGTCAAAGGTCTAATCTGCTACCAGAATAGTGGAGTAGGCTGTTTATTCTGATCAGACTTCCTTGATATATAATCATTAATCTATTGCAAAACGGGTATTTAAAGCAGTATTGAGACATGTGTTGTGGGAGTTTCTCACTGAGCATTACAGCGTTTTAGCAATTACCATAAAGACTTCATCTTTCTCCTGGATTTCACATGTTTAAAAATAATTGGTTGGAGAAGTTTTGCATGAAATGAGGGTAATTTGACCATAAGAGCAGTGCAGTTGCGCTATTGCAAGGCTATTTGATTTTGGTCACTTTGTAATGGATTTCCAGCTTGTGACACACTACAATATAGATTGGTAAAGCTATATGAGGCATTAGAGATTCAAGTACTTTATGTCCTATTTATTCCTTATGTGCCACAGGCCGCCTGTCTTGAGATATGACCAGCTCAACACAAGAAACCTTTAATAAAATAAAAAAGTAAAGAGGTGAAAATAGAGATTTACAGCTGGCCATTTTGACAGTGGACTTGATATAAGGTGTTCATAACAAGTTTTGCATTTTATTCCTGGTCCCCTCACGCACATTTTAATCATATTTTATGTGATCTATGTATGCAGCACTCATCCTCTCTCTGTCACCCAACCTCTCCAATGTGTCCCTCTTAAACAGATTGCTACAATACTTGTAATGATGGTCTTCCCAGCTGTGCTGCAGGAGAGGGGAAGGGAGCAGCAGGCTATAGTATTACCATAATACCCGCTCCCTCCCTCCACTGTCCCAAGGGCCCATGTGGGGCTGCATGGGGATGTGGGGTAACTCTGCTGTGGAGGGGACTCAACTGGCTGCCGGTCCTGCAGGCTGTGTGGATGTGTGTGTGACTGTGACAGGGCTGAACCTGCCTGTGGGCGATGTAATAAAAGCGCCACACACTGCTGGTAGTGATGGTGGCACTGCTGCTGTAGCTGCAGAGGAGGGGATAAATATAAACCAGGCCCGCATCAAGGAGACGGCCCTCCAGTCACAGCCTGACTTACATCCTAATAATTAGGCCCCTTTCCAATAAAACAAGGATTTGTAGCTATGCATCTATTTTACTTGTGTTTGCTACTGCAGTGGGAGGGATGCATGATCTGCTGCAGTCTCTGGATGAAGCTGAGGCTTTGAGCGGGTTTAATTTCAGCAGTGTTGGAAAGTGATCAGCAACATTTGCCCAATTTACTTCTTGATGTTCAAACTGGAGAGGAAATCTCTCTTGTCAGCATTTTATGGAATTTACATTTTTATATTTAATTATTTTCTTTTCAAATATTACATAATTTCTCCATGAAAGCTGTTATGATAACATTTGAATTACTTATGTTTTATGCACTCATTTGAGAATTATACATTCTGCCATTTTCTTGAATTTGCACACAACCTCACACACTGTCTCTGATAGCGGCTAATCAATAGATGAGGCCTGCAGTTTGCCGTTGCATGTTATCTTAAACCTCCTAATGTGCAATGGCTAATCTTTTTACTCTTATACTCTCTCCCCCACATGATCTCTTTCTCAGTGTTTTGCTCTCTCTCTTTTGTCTCGTTTCAAATACACTATTGGATATTCATTATTTATGCATTATCTTAGAAAATTGGTAAATATTTGACACTTTGTTTCAAACATCACTTTCTTTAAACTAGACTACCTACTAGTAATATGCTGTAATTCTAATAATATAGGAACTTCTTAGGCATGATAATAAAAAGTGACTTACATACTAGTTACTTTAATAACAACAGTGAATTTCTTCTCTTATATTTACATATACTTTGAATACACTTATTTGCATTATCGTTCCCTTAAAAGCAATATATCACACAGATTTCCCACATTTTGTCCCACCTCTGGCTACCTATCACATTGATGGGTAAGAATGTAAAAAAAAAGCACATTGGGGAAGACAGAGAAAAGTAGAGATAGGGCGACGGAGACAGAGAGAGAGAGGCGAGCTGGGTGGGCTGGCAGTCAAGGCAGGGGGTATCAGGCTAATTAAGGCAAGCATTTGTCAGAGATTAAGCCTTAAACAGAAAAGGTCATCTGAGCACCAGAGCGCACTGTTTCGCTGCTGTGCTCTTAGGGCAGTTTAAACCTTTCCAAGCTAAATGGTAAAGATGCTATTTGCCAGAGATGGGGGAGGGGATCCAGATCCCGACCAGTGGTAAGAGTGACACTCGGGTCATTGGTTCTTCACTGTCCATTACACATGCTGGTCAAACCTGGCGATCTGTGTCATTTAGGGATGAAAAATAAGTGCTCAAACAAGATCAATAGATGCAGCCGTCTGTACCAGCTGTGATTAATTGACTGTCACCAATTAATGACTGGCCTGTTGCAAAGCAAAGCAATCTTAGCGGGACTGTGGGACTTGTCGGAAAATGGGTATTTCTTTCATTTCAGTCTGTTATTGGTTATTCTAGAGTTAGTTTCCCAGTAAGAAATTCATGAACCACTTCAGTTACAATGTGGAGGTTTACTATGGCACACTAAGGTCTTTCTGACAGCATCTTGCATGTCAGGTGCTCTTTGAAGTCATTTGTAATGTTGAGATAATATGGGCTTGAATGAAAGCGCATACTGCAAACAAATCCACACAGTTTTTTTTAGTTCAACTGGAAACCGTTACTCAAAATATTTCCTGGTTTGTATATACCTTGTGTATAAGTCTGTATACATTTAAATAAACTCTCATTATACCGTATAATAAAAAATAAAATTAAACAATGTTATGAAAATCGATATTACATTTAGCTCAACCTATTAAACGTAGTCATTTTATTCCAAATGTTCTCATAAAACCAGTGATGCGATGAAAAATGAGTGAGAATAAGTGGTGGTCTGTGATCCATTTAATATTCTGTTGAAAACAACCAAACAAGTCCTGGTGATGTTTTTAAACTGAGATCAGTGTACAAGCTTTTCAGTCAATTCTAATCACATTAGACCCTGAGAAGATGTCCTGGTTTGAGATACAATGAAGCGCAGGACATGTTGGTTTAGATATGAGTAATGGCTCTGGAGGGCTAAACTGTGGTGGATGTAATTTGAAATATTTGTAGTGGAAATTATGCTAATATTAAAACAATCTGTATCGTTATAAATTAGATCATTTACCTGAGATGAAAGCTTACAAAATGTTACATTGCAATCTTCATTATGGGCAGGCTTTAAATTAATGAATATGCTGTTGGTGTCCTCTAAATTAGGAATTGTCGTTTTGCAATAAAGAATATGGTCCTTAGGTTTTGCTGTGATTTTTCATTTGAAGAAAACAACAAGAACAATACATATGAGAAATCAAAGCTAAATATGTTAAGACATTACTGTATATAATGTAATATTGTTATTGGGAGCACATTGACCTAATGGCAACCTAGTTTTCTAAGTGAGACCTCCCCAGTAAGTCCTGATCTGCTTTAAGTTTTGCCAGAACTTCACTGTGTAAATAACACTTAGGAGTTTACTCGAAGAACAGCTATATTTGTTTACAAGATAATTTTAACCCAAATAGAAAGCATACTGCTGTATATCTGCAAGCGTAATATTTATCTATTTTTTACCACATTAAACCATTGGAAACTCTTTTAGGACTATCTTTTCCAGTTTCATTTTTAACATTTGTTTTCCAGTATGATCTGTGGAATGCAAATCACACCCCAATTTCAGCAGCCCTCTAGATGACTGGTTCCTTTATAGACTTTTATGGGGAATACAGCTGTATTTCCCATGAGCTGACTTCTGCTCTGGAAAATGTGTGTTTGTGTCCTCAATGTGCATGGTTGTTTGTGTGTTGGAAAATGGATGTAATGATGTACTTTCAGTGTAAAGTCCCCACCTTTGTTCAATAACATAATATGTGAGTTACAATTGTAATTGTCCATCTGAGG